TTTTTTTCATCTGTGCTGTATAGGACAGTAGAGTTGAGACAGGAAAGTGTGAGAAGCAGAGAGAAAGGAACAGGATTGGCAAAGGACCTTTAGTCGGGAATTGAACTCGGGTCCACGTTAGCATCTCATAGCTGTATATGTCGACGCACTTAACCACAAGGTATTGGCTAACCCTTTTTACATATTTAAATAAGCTCAGAATATACATAAGCTCAAAGTAGAAGCTTAAATTATATAAATTTTATATAAATATAAAAAAGATTTTATATTTGAAAAAGAAAAGATGAGAAACAATAATCAAAATTAGTAAACACTTCCAAACAGGGGCTCCGTTAACCGGTACGAACCCTAGGTTCCTCCTTTAAGAGGAACCTCCTTTAAGAGGTAAAGAGCGAGAGGGTGAGGGTTGGGTTGTTATCGCGAATGCAAGTAAAGTGCGCCCCCCGTGGGTGGGGGGGGGTCTTCTGATGAGCCCCTAATAATATCTCCGGGGGCCCCAAAACAGGCTGGGCAGGATCGTCCTAACTTTCCATAGTTTCCCTAGTGGTGTCCCTGCTTCCAGATTCATTCATTCACAAATATTTCTTCACCTTAGTCCCTTATTTATCTGAGGTTGCCACAGTGGAATGAACCGACAACTATTCCGGCATATGTTTTATGCAGCGGATGCCCTTTCAGCAGCAACCCAGTGTTGGGAAACACCTATACACACTCATTCCCACATGCACTCTTACACAATGGTCAGTTTTGTTTATCCAATTCACCTATAGCACATGTTTTTGGACTGCGGGGGAAACCGGAGCACCCAGAGGAAACCCACAGGGAGAACATGAAAACTCCACACAGAAGCTGGGACTCGAACCAGTTACCTTCTTGCTGAGATGTGACAGCGCTAACCACTGATCCACCGTACAGCCATCTCTTCCAGACTTCTCCAAGTTACTGAGGCTAGTAATTTCCTTATTATCTGACAAACCTTTTTTTGACAGATAAACTTTGCACCAACTTTGTAAAATTGATCACCAGTTCAGCTCTGCAAGGGCTAAAGATCTGAATCTCACACAATGTCTTGATTTATAAGCCCACTCTGCAACAGACATTTTTTGTGGTTGTTGTACAACCACCCAGTATGGTTGTAAAATGCCTTAGATGTCTGTTAAAGTGCTATAAAATACATACATTTATTAATTCCTGAAGAAATCTGGTGTCCATTATAATATTGATCTCTAATTTTGATAACCTTTTTTTTAGATAAAATGGTTTATTCCGTCAATCTCATGCACCGTCTTTTTGATGAATGTATAGTAAAACAAGAGTGTTATTATAAAGTAGCCTTCACTAATCTCTGGGATCTATTTCTATATTTTCAAAAACACTTTTGGTCTCTCAATCACCTGGCTCTGTGGGTTGGAGTAAGGAATCTTTAACCTTATATTGCCGCTTGTCATTGCTTTCATAGACTGGAAGATGTTCTAATACACCAGATAAGGGAAGCCACGTCTCTCATATTCTGAGTATCCATTTCCATTAGTGATTCTCAGCTGCTTCATAAACTTCGTCTTTCCACTTTCTGGTGAGCCTAAGTGAAAGCAAAAAACAAATCACATGCTTTGGTTGAATGGGAATGGGAACTTGCAAAAAAGAAATGTAGATGAATAAACTTAATACTAATACTGAGAAATACAAGCACACGTGATGACTTCAATAATTTAGTTAAAATGTTCAATTAATTGAGATTTGGATTTTAGGCCAAATCGCTCAGTCCTAATGTGTATCTAAAGAATCATCTCACCTAATAAAAGTAATTTGTCCTCTCGACAGCAGCTTTCAACCTCCTCCCTAAGAATGCAGTCGATGTTTTTACTTCTGATGGTGGCAGTTTTCTGATCTTCAGAGCAAATAATCCCACCGCTGAAATCCTCCATTTCTCCAACAGAAACAATAATAAAGTATAATTATTTATTCTTTTTTTATTTTATTTTTTTTTATATTTTGTATTCATACATAAGGTAAATAAAGTTTGGTCTTTTTTTTTTTTTTAACAAGGAATGACATATCTTAATTAATTTGTGTTGCCAGATCTTGGTTAAAGAAACAGCAAACAAGAACAAGTCCATAATAAAAACAAAATGAATCCAAATTTTTTTTATAATAGAAGCTAATACCAAACAGGCTTTCTGCAGGTTTTAGTGAGTTAAATGTAAGACTTTTAAAGTCATTTTTAAGACCATTATGAATAAAATTATAGACTCATCCAGGTTTTAAACGCTTAGTAAGTTTTCAATGGTCCAGTTGGAAAAGGTTTTTATTTGCCCTATCAAACTTTTTATAATTTAATACATTTAATATTACAATAATAATAATGATAATTTTAAAAATAATATTTAGGTTAATTCTGAGAAAAATATTTTAAATATTGTCAAAACAAGTTCTATAAATACACTTTTTCCAACACAACCTTTCTTAAACATAATATAAAAAAAAGTTTTAAAGGTTTTAAAAACTATAATAAACCAAATGTATGCACAACAGTCTGTCCAGGTCAGCTTCCTCAGCAGCAAATACATGGAAAACGTTTAAACAAATGTTATTGTAAGGAAAATAATTAAACCATGATGGTAAAAAGAGTTAAAAAGAACATTCTTAAATATAAAGTTAAAAGCTTTATTATTTATTTATTTGATGGGTGTTGGCCAGATTGGGTAGCTATACTTAAACAAAGGGAAATTAAGACCTACAAAACACAATTTAAGTAGTTTTACGACTTTTTAAGTCCTAAAATTTAGTTTTTGAGATTCTCTGGCTGATTGTACGTCTATAATACTTCATGATGTAACTTGACATTTAGGTTCACTGTATTCTTGTTTAGGTCACATTTTTAAAAATTGTGAATCTTTCTAACACAACAGGTGGAAACTAACATGGGAAAATGTCTGGCAGTTATTTAGGACTTTTTAGTCTGTTTAAGTCCTATCGATGACCATTTTGTTGAATTGTGTTTTAAATAGTCTATAGTTACTATAGTTTTCTGCCACAAAACATTCATTCATTCATTTTCCTTCTGCTTAGTCCCTTTATTCATCAGGAGTCGCCACAGCGGAATGAACTGCCAACTTATCTAGCGTATGTTATACACAGCGGGTGCCCTTCCAGCCGTAACCCAGAACTGGGAAACACCTATTCACTCTCACATTCAAACTCATACACTTTGGCCAATTTAGCTTTCCAATTAACCTATAGCGCAGGTATTTGAAATATGGGGGGAAACAGGAGCACCCAGAGAAAACGCCCCTGCCCTGCCACATAACAAAAAATGTTATAAAAGTTTTACTTTATTTTAATGAAAAAACACACAAAAACAAATTTTCAGTAAGATTTGTGTGTGTGTGTGTTTCTGTTTAATTAAATTTATTTGTGTATTATTTATATTTGAAAACCACACACACATTTGCGTGTGTTGCTCAAAAAAATGCTCAACATGTCAGCTAACTACTGCAAAAATATAATTTAGCACGTTGACATTCATTCATTCATTTTCGTTTTGGCTTAGTCCCTTTATTAATCTGGGGTTATCACAGCAGAATGAACCGCCTACTTATCCAGCATATGTTTTACGCAGCAGATGGCCTTCCAGCTGCAACCCATCTCTGGGAAACATCCATACACACTCATACACTACGGACAGTTAGCTTACTCAATTCACCTGTACCACGTCTTTTGACTGTGGGGAAATGAATATTAAAATATTAAATATCAATTTTGTTAAAACATTTTTTAAAGACATTACTGACATTATGACATTTATTTCACTGAAATCACGTAATTTTGGTAATGGTTATTTTTTACAGACAGTTACCTGTTTAGAAAATAAGATAATATTAAGAATTTACCAGTATTTTCCTCCAAACTTTTCCCACATGGTGTCGATAAAGAGCAAGAAATCACCTGCTAATCTTGAAGTTTATCACTGACAATAACAAGTCCCTTTAACTTTGTACGCAACGGAAGCGTCGCTTTAATAGTATGTGAAAGGTCTAAATAATAAACATTTGCTTTTATGCGCTCTTAATATGTATTATTACCTCAAATTATGACAGAAATTGTATGAATAAATTAGCTAGATATGTTTAAACAGGAATGGGCGTTGTCCAGTCAGTCGAATAGCAGGGTTTGTGGCGGGACACGCCCCGCGCGCTCCACAGCAGTTCTTCCACCAACCTTGCCTCCTTCCACGCCCCGCCCCCTTATGCGCTTCTCCCTCGCATTGGCCACTCTCCCTGTCACTCACGCTCGATTTTCCAGCTGTCGCAGCTCCAGGTTTGTGTGCGACTCACACCGGACTGGACGGTGCGATCATCTGGAATTTTTTTTCACTCCGTCGATTTTTGGTTAGAGGGTGAAGCCCGCACCTGTGTCACCATTTCCAGTTTTCCATCCTTCAAATATTCCGCGGATGCAAAGAAATGAGCCGTGAAACCAGCGCGTGGACTGTAAATAGAGATTCCGGCTAGCTAGCAGGTTAGCCCACCCCAATTAAGCTAGTTAGTGCGCTTAGCTAATTAACTTTTGAGCTTTTGGATGCTCGAAATCAAGTGTTCGCACTGTAGGCAGTGTTTTGTGCACACAGAGCGTCTGTAAAAGCGCATATGGCTGTCTTCTGCCACCTGTCGCCGTGTGTTAGCTAGAGATCCCGGCGGCTGATGGACAGTGTTGCGGTGAGTCTGGGCACTGGGGCGGTTAGCTTAGCGAGACAGCAAAGGACAGCACGGATGTCGTGGCAGGCTGGTTTGTCCCTTCGGGACTCTGGTTGGTAGTCATCAGATTTTTTTTTATCAAAAACGGGGCTCGAGTGGGTCTGATAGTGGAGATCTTAAGATTCACATCTGGCCTCCGATCTCATCCAGTCTTTGGCCTTGTTTGATAGATCCGTTCGGTCTATTTCGTTTCATCGATTCTGTTTTAAACGCCATTCGCCCCCCAAAATCCATCCCGTTCCTCTTTCGACGCGGTTGCTAAAGGGAAGCGGGCCGCAGAAGTGTGTCAGATCGGGGGTTGGGATCTCCAAACGCTGTGGTGATGACTCTGGAGTCCATGATGGCCTGTTGCATGAGTGAAGAGGCGAAGGAGTCCAAAAGAATCAACGCCGAGATCGACAAACAGCTCCGGAGAGACAAGCGAGATGCCAGGCGGGAGCTCAAACTCCTCTTGCTGGGTAAGCGCATCTCTTGACAGCTGCTGCTCTCTCATCGACAGGGTTTGGCATGAGGTTGGACTTTAAAGGCATAGTTCACCCAAAAATGAACGTTTGCTTGCTTTTTACTCTCTCTCAAGTGCTTATGAGTAAATAATAGCATTTGAAGAAAGCTGAAAACATGGAACCATCGACATCCTCAGTAGGAAAAACAAATACTATTGAAGTCAGTGGTTACAGGTTTAAATCTTTTTTCAAAATATCTCCCTTTGTGTTCAACAGAATGAAGAAACTCAAAAAGGTTTGGAACATGTGAAGGCACAGTAAATGATGACCGAATGTGCATATTTTAGTAAACTCTCCATTTAAAGCTTATTGTTTGTGATCTGATGCATGCATAGCGATGCTGACGAAGTGTTTAAGTCAAAATTGAAATACATTTGGTGAATGTGATTTGCATTGTTATTTTGCAGTATTTGTTGTGATTTTAAAACAATAGCTCAAGGCTTAGATCCAGCTTTCCCATGGTCATGTAAATATTTTCTACCATACATTTTTCAGATTACATGAAGAACAATCCTAAAAAAGGGAATTTTGGCATTGCAGCATCATAATTTATACAGATAATCTGAATATAAAATGGCAAAGATGTGCAATACGGTTTCCCAAAACTGAACATTGTCATCATTAACTTACCTTTCACTTGTTCCAAACTTGTTTGAGTTGCTTCTGTCGAACACAAAAGAAGATACTTCGCAGAATGACAGAAACCGATAACCATCGATGTCCATAGGTTTTATTTTTCCATCTATGCATGTCAATGGTTATCAGTTTCCAGCTTTCCATCTTCTTTTGTTTTCAACAAAGGAAAGGAACTCAAAGATTTGGAACCAGTTGAGGAAGAGTAAATAGTGAGTACATTTTCATTTGTGTATTAACTTTAAGCGTGCATGAAGAAAAATATGAAACATTGTTATATACAGTAGTGAATATATGATTTTAAAAAAAAATGTACGTTTGTTATTTATATCCAGAGTTTATTCAGTGGCTATAGGAATATGAGTTTGCAATTATATTTTAGACTAGGGCTGGGCGATTAAATGAAAAGTAATCGAAATCGACATTCAGAACATATAATCAATAAAAAAAAATTAATTACTTTCCCTACCGCATGTGAAGTCACCTGACCACGCTCTGTTAAAGGCTGAGGTGGATTTCTTGTCAAGTTGGACGATGGACCCATTCTTGAGCCTTACTTTGCACTACATTGACGATGATTGGAAGCTGCGCTGAGATACCTTGACACTTTTCCATTATGTTAAAATTATTACATTTTTCCTTCAGTTATTTTAAAATTAAGTTATGCACCCTTCATTCAGAAATCTGCATATTTATTGTACAAAACTTGAACTATGAGGGCAAAAACATAAAATAAATTATTAAAATAATCGTTCATTAATCGTAATCGAGTTAAAATGTTAAAATGTTCAATTAATTGAGAATTTGGTTTTTGGCCAAATGGCCCAGCCCTGTTTTAAACCTGAAATTAAGTTTGTACATCTCTATAGTTTTTGGAAGCTATAATAGCTTGAGGTCATGGAAAATCATTGGAAAAGGTGTGGAAACTATGAATCACGTATTTTCTACAAATGTCTGAAATGGTCCTATTTGACAGCTCAAATTCTGTTTCACTTCTTCCCAAATTCTAGCACATTCCATAAGTGTTGAAGTGTCCCCAACAACTGTAGAGTGTTTTCCCGACCAGTAAACTGTTGTGGATGGTCTGCATGCTAATTTATTAGCAATACACTTCGAGTTAAGTGTTTCAAAGAGTCTTTGAGTTGCACGAGTGTCGGTTTACAGCCATCTCGTGATCTGACCATTCGGCCGCTCTTTGCTTTCGTTTTGGTGTCAGAGCCATTAGGTCATTTGTGGCAGCAAGCAAAGCTAAATTGTCAGCAATTTAAGCTGAAGATTGTATCTGAATGCTTCAGTAGCGCAGAGCGTTTCATAACACATGTCCCTACATTGTTCTCAGAACGGAGAGATGCAGTAACTATGAAAATAATTAGATCACAGCCTTAATTTGAAACTCGAGTTGCAAAATCTATTTAGGACAGTGTTTGCATCCCAGTTTATGGCTGCTAAAGTCAACAAGAGTTGAGCTTTTTTTTTTTTTTTTTGCTTTTCAGAGTCTGTTAAGGAGAATAAAACTTGTTCTGACCCAATGGTGGTTTTACAAGCCGATCCTGTTCCCAAAAATGGCAAAAACTGTTAATCCGGCTGCCACACATGCCAGGGTTCTGTTTAGAAATGGCAGACCCGGTCAGAGAGGGATCCTCAAATTGCGTAGATGAGCAGACACTGTCACGGGGCCTAGTTGTGTAGTGTAGGCTGACCCATAAAAGCGGTTCACATCTCCTTAGAAAGCTCAGGCCTCGCCGCGTGCAACACAACCAGCCTTTTGTCGGGACTCGCAGTATGGCTATGTGGAAGAAACAGAGGCTTTGCATGGCCAGCAAGTGCTGTTAACCTTCTTGGTAAGATTCTCAACCTCGCCTTTTGGGAGCTTAGAGGAAGTTGTCATTGCTTTGGGTTTATTGGGTCAGTCAGATTTCTTATTATGCTAATAAATAGTTGTTTTTGAGGTTTATGCATGTTCTTGTGGTGTTCTACCGAAATTCCCAAACACTTTGACTTCCTCCCCCGAGGTTATTGCAGGAAAAACGACTGTTATGGATGTCTGGTTAAACCGGATTCTTAAAGTGTGGTTAAATAGGCATGATTCAAAGCCTTTGCTCTCGCTCACAATATTTGATTAGCCTGTTAGCGTGACTTTTTTTTTTTTTCTGACTTGTCGTTTTCTTCCAGACTAATGTGTCAGAGTTTGCTGCATGTGATGCTTGGTGTTTATTCGAGATCTGATGTTTGACAGTGTTATCCTCTGTCTTTCAGTGACCTTGATTTAAAAACACTAGGGAGTTCAAATTAATACTATAATTACTCATGTAGTCTCTTTCAGTATAACGCTTTTCCTCCAAGTTGTCAATGTTTTCACTCAAAACACAATTGTTGGAAAGTGGCATGCTAATTTCATGCTCACAGTTTACATTTCTGTATCGAGGGTACACCCTTATCTTAACATTTACCCCCTTAAAAATTGTTACTACACATTTCAATGACTGCAAAATCTGCGTTTGGTTGGCTTGGCATAGCATTTTCAACTATGCATCTCTGTTGCGAAAGCACAGAAATGTTGACCGATCATCTGCCTCTACTTATTCATGGGTTATACGCATCATCTTAAACACCTTCTCTCGTTTCAGTATTTCAATTTTAGTAACTTCGCTAACTGTTTTTCAACGTGATCTGCTCAGTATTGGTTCCCATTGTTTGTAGTATGGATGCAACAATTATAGATTTTGGTTGCACAATTAATCACAGGGAATAATCACGGTAATCATGCTTAGGAATGTGCTGGTATATGATTCTGAATGGATGATAACCTTGGATAAAATGATCACAGGTTCACATTATTGTGTTTAATGCTCTAAAATATATTCTTTTTATATGTGTGGGTAAAAAACAAAAAACTTTTTACACAAATAATAATTTTAACCAAATAATACTGCACAAAATAATAATAAAAACAAAGTTCATTTCTCTTTGCATTTAAAATTAAGTGAAAAAGGTTTCAACATTTAAACATAATCATTTTACACTGAAAATGACAAAATGATGAATAAATAAAAATAAGAATAAAAAAATAGTATTTGTCTAATGTAGATATAAGCCCCTTTCACACATACAGACAATTTTCCGGAAAGGTTGTATGTGTGAACAGGTCCTTTTTGAAAATACCGGTAAATTCGTTCTGGCTATTTTCTGGAAAGAGAAGTTGTAACATTACCGGCAATTTGCCGGAATGCTGCGCTGTGTGAACGCAGAAGGAAGATTGCCGTAATAAGCGCGTGCACGTCTAGAACGTGCTGACGTGAGACGTCTGCTTTAGCCAAACACAACAGTCAGATGCATTTACGTCCGCGCGGTTTATGAGAATAAAAGCCTTTGAATATGTTCCCAGACACATTTAGCTGCTAGAAGTTAGTCAGATAACGTTTATATGTTCTTCTTAATGCCAACTGTGTAAATAATCATCGATGAGATGCTTATGATAAGCCGTTGTTTGTTTACCTTCAAGCTTTGCGTGTGCCTGTGAAACAACCTGTGAGCGCCTGCACACACACATATTATGAACATCTCGACATGCAAAGGTGATCCTGCGAAAGTTGTTCACAATATTGATCATCCACAGAGTTTGTAATTTAGTCAAATGTTTACAAATACAAGCGCAGCCGTTTAAAGCTCATTTGTGGTGAATGATGTCAGAATTTACCGGTATTTTGGAATGGATGTGTGAATGCTCTTTTCTGGAAAATTTCCGTAACGTCCTCGCCTGTGTGAACAGCGCTTTTTTGAATATACCGGTAAAGTCGTTCCGGAAATTTTCCAGATATTTACCGGTATCACTGTGTGAAAGGGGCTATTAGCTACACATTAGCTGAGTATTTCCCTTTTTGAGGAGACCGAATGTAGTCAAAGGCTGCTGAACTTTACTTCAACTATATTACAAAATGGTTTTGTATTTTAGTTCAGTATTTTTTTTTGTAGAAATGTGTATAGTCTATACAACGTATGAAGCTGAGTGGTCTATTCTTGTCACGTGACTCGCGGTGCGCTTGTAACATGCTGAAAAATGTAATGTTTTCAACTAGGTACACCCAGAAAGCACATTGTGCCAGTCGCGCACCTATACCGTGTCACTCCCAAATATGCACATGCAAACCAAGAGCTTCTATTGAAAATAATGAACTCGCGCAAATCATATGTGAATTGTCCTTATGTGTGTCAGTTGATTGCCTGAGCCATACTTAATCCAGTGTGCGTGCATATTAGCTTCGGTGTACACGCTAGGCATGGGCCGATACAAGATTCTGACAGTATGATAACCTTGGATAAAA